GATTTTTGGCGCATCAGTGTACAGTAGAAATATCTAAAGGAAGGTAACAACACTTAAACAAGCATTTTCTTATTTTGAATGCATTTACATCATGTCTTTGACTAAAGCAGATGACCTGTAATTTGAATATTACCCCTTATTCTGTCACCATTAAATGCTAGTAATACCATATCTAAATAAAATAAAAGTATTTGAAATAAGTTTGAGGTTTTACAAGTATGCAAAATTATTTGTGATGGTTAAATCTGCTTTGTCAAAGTTGTCAGCAAATTTCACAGCTCACTTAGTTGAACATTAGTAAGGAATACTATAGTTTTAGAATATGTCTAAGGTTTGAATGAATGTCTTATAATTCTTTATAAATTGGTACCTTTTTGTCCTAAATTGCCATTAGCAGTTTCCGCAACAACTTTCCAGGTCATTCTGGTGACATTGGCTTTTTGAGCACATGATCAACATGTGGGCATGTGTCTAACCATAGACCCTCTGTTAGAGGGTCTATGGTCTAACCTGACAAATCATGAGTTGTTGCTGAAAACTGGTATTGGCAATCATATGTATTAAACAATTCAAACCTTGATTAGGAGGTACGGTAGTACCGGTATATACAATGTAATTTCAGGAATTTCACTAAGATTTTATGTTTTCAAACAAGAAAATAGCTATATAAATTGTATTTTTTAACACATAGTACTTAGAAAAGTATGCAGCTAATAAAAGACTAATAAAGAGTAGAAGGCTAATTAGCCTGTAAACCCCTTTTAGGTAAACTTCCCCCTTGAGTGTATAGAAACCAAAAAATTAGCTGTACAGAAGCAAAACACAATATTACCATATAAATATAGCTAACCATTCCTAGATCAGTTTGACATTTGTGGTTTTTACAATCTATTACAAGTGTTTCTTTCTGCCTATACAGTTCATTTATTGTGTGTTGAAATATAAAATACAGGTCATATCATATTTTTATCAAAGCAAAATGAAAACTTAAACAAAACAAGGAATGACCCTTTTAAAACTGAATTACCATTAAATAAAATTCTGCACAGTGACTGGATTGATGTCAATTACTGATATATTACTATTATTTTGAAGTCTTGATAAAGATCTATTTGGCTAATTGTTTGGTTTTTTTAGCTCAATACATTTAACAAAAGTTAATACTGAGTTGAATTGTGCATTTATGTAATTTCAGAATTGTGAAAATTAGTTTGACATTTCTGAGCATACACTGTATGCTGTAAAACAATTTAATTTCATGAGAGACCAATTTTTGTTAGTCAATGAAAAAGTGCAACATTTCTCAGCTGTGGAAATTTCACTAGGACTTGAGTAAGAGTCACAGCAGCTTTTTCACAAAAATTCTTTGCAGTGAAAATTAAACAGTTTACAGTAACCAATGAAACAACTATTTGAAAATACATTGACTGCATTCATTTACTTTCTCATTTCAGATTTGTAAATCATGGAGACCAACCAACCTCAGACAGAAGCTACCACAGAAGGTCAAACTGGTGCAAATACAGAGGGTGCAGCTGCTTCATCTGCAGCTAGTGACAGTTTAGCAGCCGCAACGTCTATCAGTGTTTTAGAGAACTATCTGCAGAATTTCTCTAAAGAGTTATCAACAGAACAGCAAGCAGAAGGTGCCATCACAGCCGCCCAGCAAGGAGCTGGAGATGCCACTACTGGAACTGAAGCAGCATCAACGTTTGAGAGTGATTCTGCAGCTGGTGGTGATGCAGCAGCTGCGGCAGCAGCAGCTGCAGCTGAGCAAGAGGAGGTGACACAGACTCTGCAGCTTCTGGCCAATGCATCTGCTGAAATTTCACCCCCAGCAATAGAACAGCATGTCCAAGAAGAGGGTAATCAGGACGAAGGCTCTGTGCAGGAACAAGTGGCTATGGCTGGGGAAGGAGCTGTGGAACAAGAGTCCCAGATTGTGATGGTAGGAGATATGCACCCACCATCTCAAGAAGTTCTTATGGTTGCTATGCAACAAGATCCCAATGCACCTAGTGAACAAATTGCAGTATCGGAAGTGCCTGCTGGTATGGTGGGACAGACAATTTATCAGGCCACTGATACTGCAGTTACTCAGGCAGATGGTCAGAACACACAGGTGATCACTATTATTCAATCTGGGGAAGGTACAGATGAACAGACTGTTGTTACTATAAATGCGAATGCGGATGGCACTGTTGACCCCTCTCAGGTACAACAAGCTGTTGAGCAAGCAGGGCATGCAGTTCCTGAAGGAACATATGCTGAGTTAGCAACAGTGAAGCCAGAGATAGAAGATGAAGATGAAGGTAGAGAGAAACGTGTTCCGTTAAAGAAGCGATCAGTTAATTCCAATGGTAAAGAAATACTGGATACTGTCAATGTTACTGAAATTCAGCAGTCTGCTGAACCAGACAAAGAAGGCGAGAATCAGGATAAAATTATCATCATTACTCAGGTTGGAGAACAGAATGGAAGTGAAGCAGGTGGTTCCCAAGAAAAATCCTCACAAGGGCCTTCAGTTTATGACTTTTATGAGGGTGATGATGATGATGCTCCCGTGACAACACCATCTAAAGATGACAAAACTGGTGATAAACGCAAGAAACGACAGTACCAAATTCCCAAGTTTGATGACGGTAGGCTAATTGACCATGTGTTTAATAGAGTGAAGAAAGTACCACCCAGTCCACGAGAGCCTAAGACCCATGAGTGTGATATCTGCGGACGCACTTTCCGCACGTCTACCTTGCTCAGAAACCATCACAACACCCACACTGGAACCAAGCCATACAAGTGTGAATTATGTGAGCGTGCATTTGGTACTAGTGGAGAATTGGCACGACATACCAAGTACATTCACACCCATGAGAAACCTCACAAGTGTCCACTGTGTGATTATATTAGTGTTGAAAGTAGTAAGATCAAGCGTCATATGAGGTCTCACACTGGAGAAAAGCCATTCAAGTGCCAGCTCTGTGCTTATGCTAGTACCGACAACTACAAGCTGAAGCGTCATATGCGCGTACATACTGGGGAAAAACCGTTTAAGTGTCCCGACTGTGACATGGCATTTTCTCAGAAGAGCAGTCTGAAGGAGCATATGTGGAAACATTCTGGTAGACGACCAACCCATAAATGCGAGTTCTGTGATGTTACCTTTGGTCGTATTGCTGACATGAAGGCCCATATCCGCAAGATGCATACTCCAGGTGATCCCCTGATCTGCAAGGTTTGTGAGAATGGTTTCTCTGATCGTTTCAGCTATATGCAGCATATTAAGACCCACCGTGGTGAGAAGATCTACAAGTGTGGTCAGTGTGGTTACTCCTGTCCACAGAAGCGTCATCTCCTCACTCACATGAGGGTCCACACTGGTGAAAGGCCATACGCTTGCAAAGACTGTGGAGAGAGTTTCAAGCATAAACCAACTCTCATCCACCATGAGAAAACCAAGCATAATCCAGAGATTGAAGGCGAGGAGAATGAAGAAGGATCCTTTCAGTGTGACAAATGTGACAAGACCTTCTCAAGAACAAGCTCATTGAAAAATCACCAGAAGAAACATGAAACCATACTGATAGCTACACCTGATGGAGCCGAGAAACGCAAAGCTGAAGAATCCCCGGAGACTGCCTCTCCAAGAAAGATGACCCGATCCCAGGCTAAACTGGTTCAGCAGATACATGAAGGACAAGTAATTCATCATTTGGACCCCTCCACAGTGTCTGGTATTGAGGGTGCAGTGGTAGACGTACAAGGTATTCAAGGCACTGTGATTGGTGTGGATGCTGAAGGTGGTGGTCTGGTAATTCGTGTAGATAGTGGTGCTGTTGGTGTTGTTAGCACACCAGGTGAAGAAGGAGAGGAAGGTGGTGAGAAAGAAGAAATGCAGCTCGAAGGTAAGTTTGATTACGTTTTGACTTCAATGTGGTGTTTTGGGGACTAATGTATTTGATGTATCAGAAAACATACTTTTGTAGTACTGGTGCTCAACTGATTGATCAGTATTTTGTATACATATGGGGACTTGTTGTGATTGCAAGAATATCATAAAATTTTATGAGTCTTTGCTTGGGTTGAGTTTTGTAGAAGTGATTATTCAGTGGCAGTGGAATATTGTTCATTGAATTCTCTTGTGTGAATTGATTTGGATCATTCTCTGCATATACTTGTGTATTACTGGTGCTGTTATTTTTATTATCAGTGTGGATTCCTGCAGCAAAATTGACATACAATCACCTTGATCACAGTTCCATCCCTTCAACAAATCAAAATAATGACATAGTATATGTAGATCAACTCTGGAATCTGCCATTGGTGAAAAATGGTGCATGTCAAAACAGTGTAGAGTAAGTTGAATACAGACTCACAGCTCTAATGCTTTTATTGTTGTTTTTTTCAAGGTGAGGGTGAGGGTACTATTATACATCATGTACAGGAAGGCCAGCAAGTGATAACTCAAGTAGTTCAACAGTCAACTGACGAAGCAGAAGCAGCAGCAGCTGCTGCAGCAGAAACTCCACACCCAGTAGCAGTAAGTGCAGCTGGAGAAGAAGTAGAAGCAGGAGGTGGTGCAGAAGAAGAGACTGAAGAAGGCGAAGGTGGAACTATATACTTGTTTGTTGAAGAGCAGTAACATTTTAGTAATTTGATGTTCGTTTGTATTATCATTAATAATGCCAACACACAGATAAAACATATTGGCACTTGAGCACTCAATATTAATTCGCCTTGAGTTGCATCATTTTCTAGATTGGTGGGATCTCATTAATTTGAAGCATGTGAGAGTGATTGCCATGATGTCACTCTCCCCCCTGTGGGTTGAAAATGCTTGGAGGAGTATGTATATATGGCACAGAAGTTAGATATGTGAGATCTGTTCAGTGGCTTGTGATAGTATAGGTATAAAATGTTGTATCCTCATTTATATACTGATAAAATGGTTACGGTAGGGGATAGAGGATGCTCTCCATCAAAGTATTGTCACAGAATAGATTTAACTTTTTAACTTTGATTAGAAGCCAATAGTCTTTACGCCACGCTAAAAGGTTTGGCATGATTTACCATAACTCTGTGCATTTCTTGTTTTAACTCAGTATATTTTGTTTGTAATTGCGTTCAATATGTAAGTTTGCGTTTGTTTTCTCTTTTCTCGTTGTATTCACTAGTGTCTGTTGTAGTTATTTTATTGTATGACAATTCACATGTTGAGTAATCTCATCTCTTGAACAAGAATTGTATCAGTCTTTGGGGCAGGTACATCTCAATGTCCAAAATACCAGTATTGGATGAGTATGGTGGCAAAGTTCAATTCTTTTAGCAAAAATTTTGATCAAAACATTTGAAAAAAAAAAGTTAAATCTTTACTCTCAAATCTTTATTTTTTTTTTAGAAAAACATGTTAGGTGTCTCATATTATATATATATATAAAAAAAGTAGTTTTTAACTCAGCCCAGTGGATACAGGAAGTTCTAGCTATTATGAATACCATATTTGTGCACATAACCCCCAAACTATTACGACTTATTTTAACTATAGACACACCTGTCATTTACGTAATAGGCACACATTTTACTGATAGTCATACTAAAAGGATAGGAGTAAGCTTACATCTTTTGCAAAAAAAAAAAAAAATAAGGCATGTAAAAAAAAAAATTATTTTCTTATTGTGGTTAGGATATGAATATTTTTTTTAGATTAGATATTTTGTTGGAATCCCCCTTATAAATTCACAATAATTAATTTGATAAAATGTGATGAATGTATGCGTCATACGAGTTCGGTTTTCAACAAGCTCTGGAATCGCACCATGGTGTATGCAATTACGCAAGGAGTAGTATGTTCAAACGACTGTAAACTAATTAATTATTCACTGGATTTTTAATTCCACTATTTTGCCTAATTTAATTTAATTAATATGAATATGTGAAATTACAGTATAACTCATGGTTTCACTGGTAAATGAATTTAAAACCTTGTGATGATCAAAATACTGTAAATGCATTAATTATTCACTGGGTTTTAATTTCGCTATTTTCACAGATAAATTAAATCTATGTGAACATGTAAAATAACAATAAAACTCGTTGTTTTCTTGTCTAATTTGTAAAATTAAAACACAGTAAATATGCTCAAAACATCAAAATAGTGAAAAGTCAGTGAAAAAATAAATGGTTTTACAGTAGTGAAGTTAAATATAAGTTAGACTTAATTCCTTTACAGTACTTTGCTTTTCTTGGATGGTTGGTTGGTAGTCGGCCTTATGCATGACCCCTAAAGGTCACACTTCCCGGAACTTTTTTTGTGTGGGTATTGTTTTTTGACAGCAGTAATTTCCATTATTAGACCTCAATATTTGCCACCCGTTTTGAACTTTAGTAACAACTACTTGCATTTTGTAAGGTAAATTCTAATTAATAGTGAATTTGAACCCCAAGAAAGAATTAGGATGTGTGACATTTTGAAGGTCATGTACAAGACCTATTGATTTGAGAATTATGCTTATTATGCATTATTGAAATTCATTATCTAATTTTATATTCCTTTAACGATATAATATAGCAGTGTACTAGATTTAAAGTTTTATGTTTTGTCTGGTATAATTTTACTTTTATTCTGACTTCCCACATGGTGAACGACAATATTTGCATATTGTTTCAGTCGTATCTGCCCTGTCCATACCCTTGAAAGATTTTTTTTTTAGTTCTATGTTGTGTTGTCATGTTCGTACATTTTTGAATTGGGAGAAATACACCACCATCTGGTCATTACAGTGTGTGCTTTTGTTTTTATCTTGCACCAAATCATCTGTAAAAACAATTCGGTGATTAAAATCATGACATGCTATGTAATGATTATTTGATTTTTAATAAACTGAAAAGAGCATCTCTCACACCAGTGTTCTCTCACATTTATGTAATTGTAATTTCAGCAGTTATTAATAAAATGCAAATAAAATTGGTCCAAATTTTGCCCAGTGTTTTGCTTTGCATGTACATAGCTTTTGAAAACCAATGCAGTGTGTTAGCGAGCGAATTCAGTTCGAAATGTTGCATTATGTGTACATTTGAACGGAGCCGAAATCAAATTTAGAATAGACTTTACCTAATGCCAGAACCTGGCTTGAGGTATAGAAAAGCGCCACCAATGTAGGGCTCCCTAACTCGTCACTTTAAAATTTCGAAGCAAGAGATGAGTAAGGTAAATGCAGTTTTACTAAATTTTCATGTGTGAATCTGATTTGTTTTACTACTTTAAACAATACTTGCCTTGCACCTATCGTGTGTAGAGTATCAATTGAACTCTAGAGCAGTGTGCAAAAGCACACCTGGCCAGAGCTTAGAACTATCAAAAATGTAGATTCCACAGAAGACTGCACAACAATTTATGAAATGCTGTATTAATTTCTCAAGTCAAGCTTTTTACCTCAGTGGAGACATAAATTGTGTTAACTGAAATCCAGCCAAAACAGGTTTTTATCACTTGGTGCAGTATGCAAGGTAATGCTCAGACTGGCAAAATCGGGATATATATATAAATATAATTGTCAATTTAGCCTTTTTAACGTGGTCGTAAAAACTAGCATGACTGCGAAAGAAATCCTGACTGGACGCATCTGTAGACGACCCCCTGCGTTGGAGTGAAAACCGGAGCGGAATCACTCCGGTAATTATGCTAATTAAAAGTTGTTGACTAGCACTGGCAACAAATCAGAATGCAGCTGTACATGTCATATCTTATTTATGTTAATGTACGTGACCTTTCACTTCTGAGGTCCCGGCGATTTTGAAAGATTTTAAAGTAAACATGGATGAAATTATCGCCTTTGCACTAAAATATCCATCTCTGCGATCGAATTGAATCAACCTTTAAAAGGTCATGTTTACTTTCACACACCCACTCCTGAATAATCAATGACATCATGAACAAGCCATGCATGGCACAGTCCCCGTTAGTTATCAAATTTAAGAAATATAGTTTTGTTTAAAGTAATATAGCTGGAATATAACCATGTCAGGAATATGATTTTTTTAAGATTAAAATGATTGACATTTGTATCGGATCGTCAAACTAGTACTTGACCATATTGAAATTGCTCTGGAACAGCATTCAAAATCAGCCATTTTGAATACATGTATATATATAACATGATGTATAACGAATATATAAAATTTAAATATAATAAGTCAAAGCATTCAAGAGATATGGCTCTAGAAGCCCAATCATTAAAACAAAATGGCCGCCAGTCAGCATTTTGAATCCAATCTGAAAAATAAAATGACGAGCATCAGGAGCCCGTAATGTCTAATGTATATACCAAGTTTGAACGAAATCCACCCATAAATGCTTGATATTTGATGATTTTTTTTTAGGTAAAAAAATTACCACCATTCGGCCATTTTGAATAGGATAGTCAAACCAATATATCTGTTTATCTATGACATGATGTATAATGAATATTTCAAATTTGAAAATATTATCAGTCAAAACAAGTCAGAGATGTGGGTCTAGAAGCCCATTCATTAAAACAAAATGGCCGCCAGACAGCCATTTTGAATTCGATCTGAAAAATAAATGATGTGCATCAGGAACCTGTAATGTCTAATATATGTACCAAGTTTGAATGAAATCCATCCATAAATGCCAGAAATGCTTGATATTTGATGATTGATTAGCACAAAAAAGGCCACCATTTGG